CATATCCTACTGTCATAGTTCCAAAACCACAAAACCATCTCACCCTTACCTTCGGAACCTAAGCCAACAGCCCCAAATAGTGACGAAAGCCACATAGGCAAAACCTGCAATCACCATCGCTCACCAATGCTGCTGATCAAACGACAGTGAACACAACAGCTCTCTCCATCACTTCGACCATTAGATCTTCCTCGTCGTTGTGTTCTCAAGCCATCGTCAACGTCAAGGATCCATGTTGTTGTTCCCCTCTTGCCGCTGCTGTCCTCCATCTTCACCGGAACAGTCTTGACCCCAGTCGTGGTATCGCCTTTGTTAAGTTGTTGCTTTGCCACACTAGAGCCAGAGTTCTCCGTTACTCGGTTTGGAAAGGAAAAAAATTGGTTTGTTTTATAACCCAAAATAAACACAACCCAAGTTAGTTCGACTCGGTTCAAATTGAAAAGCAACAGCCCAGATTGCTAATCCAATCACAGTCCAGGAAGCAATACTCGATCTACCAGGCCCCAAACCACCTGGCCCTATTCAAGCTTAGCTCAGTCTTAAAATTGCTTCAAAGATGGCCTGTTTGGATATAGTTGCAAGCCCAGCCCTGTTTCAGAACCAGACCAAGTTCAGTAGTAGACCAGGAAAAAAAAAAATTTCAGAAAATTATTTAAAAATGGACTTCGGCTAGCTGCGTTGGACTTCGGTACAGGTATGCATACTTCACTAGATGCAAACCTCTTCTGCATTTCAATTTCTACTGTGAGCATCATGGTAATTTATAATTTTGGGTTACTTGATTCAATTTGAGTCATATATTGCCAGTTATTTCATGACAATTGTTATACCTACATTGAGACCACCATGGCCATTTGAGACATGTCTAAGACCCCACTTACAAATGGAATTGAGAACCCAAACAATAGAAAATGTCGTAAGCGATATAAATGATTCACTCACCGAACTCTGCGAGAAGTTTACACATATGTACACTAGGGGTGACTCATCTGTTATCCAAAACTTAGACATGACAATAGGAACAATCAGCACCATTATCATGTCATGTCCACGGGTCACCATCATAACGTCTTCTCTAATCCAAGATCATCTAGAGGCCTGTGCATTCCATCTTTTTTCCTAGGGAAAAATGATTGAAAGCTTACTAACATGTTTTGCACATTTCTCAAATGTAGAGAAAAAGTTTGTTAGATCATCATTGACAAAAGAAGTTCGATAAATGCAGTGTCCAAATAAGGTGTTCTTAGATTGAGACTTCAACCCGAGCCTCACCCGCAACCATATAAGATAGCCTGGATAAATTGGACTTCCTTGTCAGTTATGGAGAGATGCCTTGTTCCTATTCAAATGGGTGACTATTTTGATAAAATATGGTGTGACGTTCTTCCTACAGAAGTAGCCCATGTTGTACTCAGTTTCTCTTGGATTTATAATGTTGGTGCGATCCATTATAATAGAGAAAATAATTATGTCTTCAATTATAATGGTAAAACTGTCATGCAAAACACTGTAAAACCAGCAAGGCCTTCAGAAGAGGAATCTAGTGCACCACATAGGACTTCTTTTCAGCCTTGTGATGACAAACGTTTGGTAGCAAAAGAAGAAAAAGAAGGGGCTAAGGAAGTTTCCCATGTTCGGCCAGGTATTGGACCTAAATCAACAAGTGGGAGAATCATTAAAAAATGAGTTAAATCAAGATAGATTTGTGGAGATTAATGCTCTTGATGAGTTACCCACTTCTTGTGATACCCCCGGATCTCCGGATGCGGGTTGGCCAGACCCACGCCCGAACACCCGAAGATATCAAACCAATCAGCAATAAACGAACACAGAATACAATTAAGATAAACAGGAATAAATAAAATTGCTGAAAAGAAACTAAAATGATAATCCAGAAACTGAAACCTCAGAATAAAATTCCATTAATAAATAAACTCTTCTAATACAACTGATCCTCCATGAATACAACTCGGGAATCCATCTAGTGGACCCCTATTCAACTCAACTGAAGATAAACTAAACTAAACAAGAAAATTCTAAACACTTCTCCTCCCATATGTCAGCCATGGTATTTGGATTGGATTGAGGATCTTACTGTCAGTCAAAGTGATTCAAGATGGAAGTGTTACATAGTTACATATGTTGCATGGAGTACAAATGGGTTTTGCCATGTTGATTCGAGTTTTTTTTAGAGTAGTACTACCCGCTTTACTCGTCAAAATTTTTTTGTCTTTTGACAATTTTTTGTCTTTTGACAATTCCAAAATGCAGTCAACCCATCAGAAATTTTGTCTTTTGACAATTCTGTCCATTTCCGAAGAAAAATCAAACCACCAAATATGTACATAATAGAGCATTTGAAGTTCATCATCCTTAATAACTAAACTATTACAAATGCCACTTCTTCAGTACTTCCATCTCTTCTCAATTTCCTCACAGGTAATCTTTAAATCATGCTAAGATTGTTCCAATAATCATGCAAAGACTGTTATAATTGGAATTTTTTCCAAAACAAAACTTAATCATGTTTGCCTTAATTCAACTTCTTTTGTATATCAAAAGTACACCTCATCCTCCCCCACCCCCCCCCCCCCCCCCGGGTTTCATAATCATCCTCCTCATCAACATCATCACCACCACGAAATTGGTGAACCTCCTCATCATCATCACTTGAAGCATTCCTGCTTCCAATTAGGAAGAAGCAACAACTACATATGGGTAAAACATGCTCTAGAACAAGTGTAATTTTAATTTTGTCTTAAGGGTAAATTACATTAGCCTTTTCTTCTCTTTCCTTCCATTTCCTCCCATTCTTGGGAGGATAACAAAGTTATCTTTCCAAAACCATCCATTTCCTTTCCTTTCCTTCCTACCATTTATACCAAACACAATTTTTTAATCACCCTCCATTACCTCTCTTTTCTTTTCCACCCATTTCCATTGCACCAAGCTGGCCTAACACACAAACTTCAATTAGAAGATGCATAAAAAAACGACCACGCAGTCACCACACAGACCCTAGAAAGCAACAAAGTAGACCACACCAGAATCGCAAACGACGAAGAAAAAACCGTTGTTGCAGAACCATGCGAACACGAGAAAAACACCAATCGAGATTGCAACAGATAAAAAACAGGTCCAAAAAATTTTTGGTATCTCTTCAAAACCCTTCACACCCCCTAGGGTTTACACAAACTTGCCCTAGGGTTTCAACTACACACATAGAGCTTTACAAACCATGCTTTGATACCATGTTGACTTTAAGACATAATCAAATTAAGAGTAAAGTATAAGAAGAAGAAGAAAAAGAGAAGAAAGAGGATGAGAGAAAAAGAGAGAGAGATGGGGAAATAGAGAAAGAATGAAAAAATACTTTCATCCTCCATCACATTCTATTTTTACTAACAAGTTTCAGTAATTACTTATAATTTATACTATAAGTAATAAGCCCCTTACAGCATTAACTCCCTTCTAGGTTCCTGGCAAACGTAATTGCTAAGGAAGAAATTAAAGGTGCAGATCTCATCAGTAGAAGATTGGTTAGGTTCTCTACCAACATATAAATCGAAATTTGCCCCTCATAAGAAAAAAGAAACCAATTGCATTAAAATTTGTAAGAGAGGAAGAGGAGAATGAAAATTCAAGCATTGAAATCGATGAGGAAATACTATTAAATAGAAAGTTTAAGAAATTTCTGAAGAAATCTAGAGATACATGGATTTTGATGAAAGGCAACTCCTCAAAAGAAAAGAAAGACAAATAATGAAAAATGAAATTGAATGCTGGAATAGTGATTAGAAAGGGCATCATTGAAATGATTGGCCAAGGAAAAGGAAGAGAGATGGCAAGAAAATGGTAAGTCTAGGGTAATGAAAGCCACACTCTCAGGCTCGTCAGAATCTGAAAGTTGTAACTTGAATTAGCGAAATTGAGGAAGAGTCTCAAGTTTCTTTGGTAGCAATTGTAGTCACACAAAACATATAACTATTTGGGAAGATGAAGATGATAAGCAAATTAAGCTTCAATTTGCCTTTAGTATCTATTCGAAGAGTCCATTGAAGCATGCAGAGAGACCTGGTTCTTACAATAAATCCATTGAATACTTGCACTACCTTCTAAACCTCTATGCGACCTCATCTCATCAATATCATTTTTCATGAAGTAATGGGTGCTCTAGGAATTTATGAAAGAAAGCAAGAGCAGCAGGATCAGTCTGCTCTCAATGTTTTTTGACAGCACTGGGTATGCGGCATATGCTATTCACACATTTATGTTGCATGTATGTGAGAAAAGTCTTTGCCTTGTGCCTCCATATGCTTGTCATTTTGGTTTTTTTATTTTTATTTTTTGCTATTTCATTCAAGATTTTCAACTATACAAGCTTAGGTTTATGATTTTGAATTTCACCTGCATACCTTGTCTTAGGTGCAAGAAATTCTCTCATAATTTTATTGTATTTTTATTATATATATATTTTTTTTCTTAGTGTACTCACACACACATGCCTCCATTGAGATTCGAACTCCTAACCTCCTTTTGAGTAGTAGGGACTTGATACTGCTAGGTCACTGACCTGTTGGTAATTTTATTGTATTTTTTAACAGAGTGAAACGAAGGAAAGAGTTGTAAAATTCTCAAATGAGGCTTGTGACATTATGCAATTTTATTTTATTTTTTCCATTAACTACTTCTGACATTATGTTGCCAATGATGGTATGCTAAATTACTGGTCAAATTCTTAATATGTGAATAAGGGAGGTATTTGTGACCACTCGTGTAAAATTGAATGCCTATAGAAAATAAAGCATGGATTTTATGTTCATTTAGCAGGACTAGATAGAAATTCTATAATTCTGGGAATTCTTTTTTCTTTAATGTACATGCATGTACATACATACATACAAATACAATACATACATATACATTTAAAAATATTATATGCTTTTATTTACTGGATGGAACATCATTTTCTGATACACTTCATGCTGTGTTTTATGCAGGGTGGATGTTGTGGTCTATGTAATATGGGAACTCGTCATTTTAGCTTTCTTGGTTTTCTCAGCTGTGTCATTATATTTTAAGCATTTGAGACTTGCTTTTATCTTAGTTTGCATCACATTACTTTTGCTTTTATGCATGAAAATTACGAAGCAAGTAAGACTGGACCGGAAAAAGAAGCGAAGGATGCTTCTTCCACTATCTATGTAGAAAGAAACATGAAGTCACAAATATTTTACAAATCACCCAACTTTGTTGTGTGAATTATATATTAACCATGGTTTTGGTCCATCCATTTTTCTGTTTATACGTTCCATATAATTGCACGAAGCAAGCCAATTATAGAATATAATTGATGTGATTACTTCAACACAAAATCATTGGAGTGGTGTTTGTATGCTTCAAGATTGAAAATTTGAGAGTTGGTTTGACTGAGAGTTGGCTTGGTTTTAGGTTTATCACCTGTTTACTATGATATTTTCCAAACTTTGTAGAACAAATTCTGGGACTGGCACTTGTGTACCAGTGTTGCATGCTCTTGAACTTGATGTTCTTGTTTCGTGGATTAATTTTTTTTCCTTTGTTTCGTGGATTTGGAAATGTTAAATTCCCGCTGTGTCCTAGGACGCTTCATAGAGTATGTTCTATTATTGTACCATAACGGCAACATGAAGGGGGACGAGTATGCATTGAATTTCCAGATATTATTATCACATTAGTTTACAAGAATACTTGCGTCAGATTTGTGGTGTGTGACCACTTTTTACATTTAGCCAGTACATAAATAGGGTTTGTATCTTCTTTTTGATGGTTATCACTCTGGCTTGAAGAAGTGAACATCAATGCCGGGAGTCACGATGGTCCATATTCCTCCGAAGACCAACAGAATGCTCAGGACCATCCCTAGGCATCCGAGTGCCCAATTCAGACACCACGTTGTGCTGTATCTCCTGGGCTTCTTGATCATTATCCACATGAGACAAGGATAGGCTGACGTGACCGGTAACGCGATCCCTCCGATCAAACCTGCCAAGTTCGGCAAGAAAGGGAATGCAACAGCTATGAAGAATGCCAGGCATCCGAAGAAGATACGAAAAGCTGTTCGTAGACACCGCGGACATGGTCTGTTCATATTGCTAGTGTATCTGGACTCGAGGTTGTCGAAAACTGGCATTGCATATATCTGGAACGAGGTCAAGCTGTTAATCACAACGAATAGGCTTGTCAATCCCAGAATAAATTTTGAGGTGTCATGTCCGTGGTACTTGTACAAGGCACTCAACATCCCTCCATTTGCAGGTATCTGACATTATACCACAGTTCATTTAGATTCACAACGAATTGTCTAATATAGAAAAAATCTGGAGCCCATTTTAATTTTTGGGTTAAAAGACATCGGACATTTTTTACTTTGAAAGGTAAAAGAGCTACCACTAAATTATTACAGTCGGAGAATATTTGGTGCTTACAGAGTTTCCGTAAGCCCAGTAACCTCCTATTGCCAGTGGAAACAAGCATAGTGCGATAATTGAATATGAAAACTTCACTCCTTTCCACATTGGTAAACGCGATGGGTGCTTTAGACTTGAAGGCATTGTACTCTGAAAATGAAATAACACCCACATTTCAGCATCACAAAGAAACCAAGAAGAAAAACGTACTATTTGTATACTATGTGTTGATTTACAGAGGCTTTGGTGAATGACCTGAACACATACTGAAGAATAATCATATCACATCTTGTTGCCATTTTGGTGCAAATTTTAATATGGGCATGGTTGAAGGTCTGATAGTGGTTTGTCTTCGGAATTTGTGGGTGGTAATGCTATGGACAAGAAGCAGTAGAGGGGAAGTGAAGGAAGAGTTTGTCGGTGAGGTGCGGATCGATGTGAGGAAGCGAGAGACATCCGAGTACATTTATGTGGGTAGCATCAAATATGATTACGTCATTTACCACATCCATAAAAAGAGACTAATAAATTTTCGCGAGAAATTTGACGTGGAAGGACTGATTTGTAAAAGAAGAAGGGTATGGCAGAGAAAACAAGGGTATAATTGTCATTTTACTTCTCTTTAATTTTACTTAATTATTATTTTAAAACTATTAAAATAACCTAGGGGCAAAATGATCAACTTGATATCGACACTGTTATTTTTTAAAAAATTTATTCGATAGTAATTAAGTTAAAATCACAGAGGAGGGAGGAGGTGGGAGTAATTTATTTACCCGTAAAATTATTAGTATTTGTGAAAAATAGTGAGAGACCAACCTGTATCTCAAGAACAAGATTGTGACCTCTGAAAGCAAAAGCAATTACACCAAGGCCATTGAGAATGGTAAAAAGCCTAGCTTCTTGGGATTGTGCCTCAAGTGGTGGTGGGCCATAGGAGACGCCCATGGGCCTACCTTTGGCGACGGAGACGGCCCATGTAAGAGTGCAGTAACTGACGGCTGTGATTGCACCGATTAAGGAAACTCCGGCGATAGAATTCAAGTTAGGAAGCTGAGCCAGGACGACAGCGGAGCAAGTGAAAAGCAGGTACCACTCAGTGGTTGTTAATGTGGTGGTCCCACACACCACCTGGTAGAATGTCTTCATGGTCCCACCTCCGATCATGATTAGGGCAACGCAGGTACCACCTGATAGATACATGGTTGGAAATAGAGCTAGGAACTTTCCTAGCTTCTCACCTTAAAACACAACAAACAAACAAGAAAATTACATTTCAATTCAAAAGTGTAGTTGTACGGCATGAGAAATATTTTAATATTTCTGTTATATTGATAATATAATATTATTAAATATTGATAGGAAGTGATATGATTTATTGAATAAATATATTTTTTTATAAGATAATATATAATTAAGTGATAATATCGATAAAGCTGAAACATCAGTTACTTGATGCAAATTATTAGTATTAATTTGATACGTAAATAAAAAAAAATTATATAAAATTTACTATATTTGTTTGGGTGATGACCAAGATCAATAATTCCAGATCTCCTGACAATTATTCCATCGCGTGTTTGTTGATGACTTAGTTGTGCACTTCCAATTGCTTTTTGGTGAATATAGCACTGTTCTTTGTTGACTGCAAATCTAGCTTTCAATGAATTTTAATAAATAAAAAAATAAAATAAAAGATAAGCAATTATTTAGAGGGTGTGCCTAAAAAGTCATTCTTACTTTAAGTATTATCTGTCTTTGTACATTTGAGGGAGGAGAGGAAAGGAAAGGAAAGGAAAAAAGCAATAGTATTAAAATTTCAACTCTCTTGTTTTTTGGACTTTTGGTCATATCTATAGACTATAGTAGTTGAGTGAAGTGACATCTTCTTTGGCACATTGTGGACTTTTTGGATGATCCAGATTAGATTACACAGTTCTTACAGCTTATACTGCCCAAAAAGTCCCGTAACAGAGAGGATGAAGTTAAGGTTCGCAGTTGCGGTACCGATCGTGATATAATAAATTTGGAAGAATATTCATATAAATTGGTCAAATTAATTTGTTCACGGTGGTGGATAACGGTATTAGACCCTTGAAAAAGTGTTACTAACTTGCCGATACGCCAAACCTTGCTCAAGAGACTGTCTAATACAAAAGATGATAAAGTTTCTATGTGCATGCCCGATGAAGCTTATTATACAATGCTTTTCCTTCATGCATGCGTGTTAGAGTTGCATGGTGTGTGCCCTACAAAGTAATTGATTGTAATTTACGGTTTCCCTTCTTGAGATTTTGAAGTCAGTCTCGGAAAAGATCGAAAGGTCGAGGTTTGTGACTGGTTGGTGACACCTCTTTTTGGTGATTGTACTTGAGAAACGATCAAGCAATGGTACTTGGAGATAAAGTGGCTTTTAAGAAATTGAGCAAAAATATATCCATCGATCTTCAACCAATACTTGTTCGAATTGAAAACTCTGTTTTCTAGATATAAAATGAAGAATAGTTTTTAGAGTAGAATTTATAGAGGCATCCACATATATCTGAGTAAATGATTGCATATAATTAATTAAGAAGAAGCATGAATTGATTAATCTGTTTTTTTGGATGGTAAAGCAAGTCACATCAGATTTATAATTTTCTTAATAAACCTTAATGGAAATGGAAATATGATTAATTTATGATGTTTGTAGGAGAAGGATATTTGTCATGCAATTGTTATTATTATTATTATTATTATTAATTTTTTTTTTCAGTAAACTAAAGAGGGAAAGACTAGAAAACGGACACACCCGTTCGAAGAACTGGGCGTGAAATATATGCTTACCAAAAGCAGCCATTGAGAGGCGAAGGTATCGGCTGTAGCGAGTCCCAGGCTGCGATTCATGTAGTTGGATGAGTAACCATAGGGTATATAGTTGCCAAACAAAGCCTAGTGTCAAACATATGATTCCCAAAGTCCTGCAACGTACCAATTATCAATTAGAATAGAGACAATTAGCTAGAAGCAAAGTAACAATTAAATTCATGCATTAAACATATATATATATATATATATATATATATATGTATGTAAGTATGTACGTACCAGCCAAGGGCAGTGAAAGCTAGGGGAAGCACAAGTGCTTGAACACCGATTCCCGAACAGAGTGTGTGGAACGCGGCGTAGTAAGCGTTACCACTGTTGGACTCGGTGATGGGGAGCCATGCATCCTGGGGGTCAAGCTTGGTGAGGTGGCCAACTTCTTCTAGGTAAGTTTGCATGGTTGAAATGGCCTTCTTCATAGGGCTGGCCAGAGGGCTCATTAGACGAGTAGCTAGCGGGCTTTCTAGGGTTTTCAGGACGGAATAATCGAGAAATGGCGATCGAGCCATGGAAGGTGATGATGAGTACTGGACTCTAAAAGGAGGAGCTGAAATGGCCGGAGTAGTTCCTTCCATAATTGCTGCAACCAGTGAGCTCTCTCTAGTTCTTACTGATATCTAGAATGTATGTTTAATTAGCTAGGTTAGACTTATAATTAATTTGATGTGCAAGGATATATATACAGATAGAGGGGGCTTTGGTTGATTGATTACATATATAATTATATAATTGTTTTGGATGATGACTAGATTATGTGACGCGAAGAGAAGGTCATCTTGTGACGTGAAGATATGATAAGTGCGTATTTTATACACATTTTATTTTTTAAAATATATCTGTTAGGATATTTTCTCTTTGGTAATTTTCAAATGACACAGTCGTGTTTTTTATTAGTCACAATTTCTGTAATTGCACTTTCATTTACAAGATGTCTCAGAATTAAAAATATAAAATTTTAAAACAAAATTGTCCTTTAACTTTTTCTCATCTCCTCAGTTTTATTCCCATCTCCTCAGTTTTATTCGATATATACAAACAATGGCGTGCCCGTGCGCTCGCGCACGCGCGCGCACACACATATATATATATACACATTCTAGATGCCCAAAAAAAGGGGAATATATTATTTTCTTTCTTTTTGGATTTGTCAAAACAAGTAAGATAATGAGTATATATATAAAAAATGACATGAAAGTAATTGTTTACATATATATATATAGATTGATGAAGCGGGGAGAGAAAAAAATAGAAATAAAAAACTTATACATATATGTGTGTGTGTGTGTATATATATATATATATATATATATACATGTACATCAATTAAGTGAGGAAAGAAAAAAAATAGAAATAAAAAACTATTAAGCTATATGAAATTATGTATTGTGATTATAGGAATTAAACATGAATCTATAGCACTATAATATATATATATATAGTTAAAATATAATTAAAAAAGAAATTAAATAATCCATTCCCATAATATTATTTGTTTGGCAATTCAAAAAGAAATAAAATAATACATAAATAATCCATTCCTATAATATTATTTGTTTTGGCAATCCAAAAAGAAAAAAAATAATATATTCCCGAATGTTTTATATATTTATTTTTTTGGCAATTTAGAATGTTATTGATATATGTGTGTGTGTGTTTGTATGTATATAAGGATAAAACCGAGGAGAGGTGAATAAAATGAGAGAGATAAGAAAAGGTTAAAGGACAATTTTGTCTAAAAAGTTTATATTTTTATTTCCCATAAAAGTTAGAAACATCTCATAAATGAACGTGTAATTATAGGAATTGTGACCAACAAGAAGCGTGACGGTCACTAACATTGCTCTTTTTAGATTATTAGAGGTTATATATGTCATTTTAAGTAAAGACCAGTTGAGAAAATCAAATTTTTGGAGAATTTTAGAAAATTTGTAAAAGAGTATTCAGCAAACAAAATTTGTTATGGGAATTATTTTGAAGAAATGAAGTTTTTATATACCAATAAGGAAATAATTAGGAGAAAAATTCCGGACTAGCTTCATGTAATCCAATCATAACTTTTGACTCGAATATTCAAATTGGGCAAATCCAGTCTAAAAAGAAGACTCAATACCAGTCATTTGTGTCTAATAAAAATTTGGTTAAAACCATTCCAACAATGTCAAAATTGGGCTTCAAATTTATAACACAATGGAACGAAAATTATTCTGAGTTTATTTTTTTCTTTCTTTTGAGAAAACAATAGAGTGACTATTATATATATATATGAGAGAGGGAAACACAGTTAGCACATGTAATGGAGTAAATATATTTTATTCTTTTATCGATTTCCATTTATATAAGTTGAACGTTTAAGATTTTCAGTTTTTTCTTTATTAATTATTTTAGGTTTCTTCAACACTAATATCATGTATTTGTGGTTGTTCCATACTTAAAATTTTACACTTTTTAAGCGAAAGAAAACCACTTTTTAAATATATTTTTATGTGTGCATTAATGATAAATCTTATGAGAGCCACGTAGCAACGTCTAGATTGCTACTCTTAGATAGATAATTAATTGATGGTACGTTGCTACTCTTAGATAGATGGGTAATGGAACTTTATGAATTTAATGGTGATGGTATCCCATACCTTAGTTGTTTTTTTTTTTTTTTTTTTTTTTTTTTTACTGATTGATTTCAATCTTATTATTTTTATTTTAATCTTACTTGTTTGTTAATTTTAAAATAACATCATGAACATATTATGTCATTAATATATTCACTTAATCAAAATAAATCATTTTAATTACTGATTTAGAGGAGTTTTTATATTTGTGAGACCAATTTATGTGAATAGTGTATTTTAGAGTTAAAATTTAATTTGGTGTGCAAGGATAAGATCAAGGGGGCTTTGGTTGATTACATATATAATTATACAATTGTTTTGGATGATGACTAGGTTATGTGACGCGGAGAGAAGATTTTTTAATTGAGAGAGAGTAGTAATAAGTAATAACATGTCATGGGGAGAAGAGTATAAAGGACAATCTTTTGACCGACCCTACTTTGGCTGCTCTCGTCTTTTGCAAAGTACGTACCACTTTATATATATATATATATATATATAAAGCTTTTTTATATTTGAATAATGATTTGTTACGGTGAATTGTTTAATTAAATATTTTTTATTAGTAATTTATTCATAATATATTTAAATGGAGGGTCTTATTTCTTTATTTATGTGATTTGTTGTAATAAATTATTAGATTTATTTTTTTTAATGCATAAATAAAAAAGTAGATCCTTCATTTGCATATATTGTACATTAATAACTAATAATCAACATTCAATTAAGTAATTTAGTATAACAAATCAATACAAGTATCGTTACTCTTCATATTTTGGTTGCGCAGTCTCCGTGTCCATGCCATGCATTTTAATTACTATAATATGTTTCCACTCAAATTAAGCTTTTGGTTTCTAAGCATGAACTCCATCTAGGGTACAGGACCACATAAAGGTGAAAATGTAGAATGTCAGACAAATTAAGAGTCTTCAGCACCAGCAACCAAAATTTGAAATCTGCAATGCTTTCAATACAATAATGCATGTAACCCACCACAAATATATATATATATATATATATATATATATATATATATATGTTAAATGGTACTAAAATCATAATACCTTTAAATTCATCATATAACATTTTTAATTGTCAAACAACTATATGAACTAACAAAAATTATCATGTTGTTTTATTTTTGTGACGGAATTGTTAAGTTATTAAATTGAGCTAAAATAATATAATTCCTCCTTTTCAATTGTCAAATAATTATTTGAAGTAACAAAAATTATCACGTTGTTCCATTTTTGTAACAGAACCGTTAAGTTGTTGCATAATGATAATAATGTCCTTAATAGTATATTAATATTTTATTAAACTGAAATGATTAATTTTAAAGTGTGAGAAGGGCAATTTTGTTATTACAAATTATGAAGTTACTTTGGTCAGTAAAATTATGCAACTGTTGCACGTGTGATTGTCACAATGATACGATCCCATTAGTTTTAGACGAGAAATTAACAGTGAAGTGGTGATATGATAGACTTTTTAAAACATTAAGGGGGTAATATGATATGTTCTTTAATTGAAGGGGTTGTATTACGAATTTAAAAACAATAGAGGTATTTTATGATTTTTAGCCCTATTAAATATATAGCGGATTCACTTTGAGTTCATACGCAAGTTCTATAATTCGGGATGAGTTCACGTTATGTTTTGAGTTGCCCGACGCACTAGCGGAGCCCAACACAAAATGAAATTGGGTTCTCAGCTCGGACCGAATTGTAATTTGAATAGTCAAATGCAAGAATATATATTTAATTGAACATATCATATTATTAGTATACACACTTAATCAAAATAAATTATTTTAATTACTAGTTCAGATGAGGTTTTATATTTGTGAGACCAATTTATTTGAATAGTGTGTTTTAGAGTTATGATTAATTTGGTGTGCAAGGATATATATATATAGAGAGAGAGAGAGAGAGAGAGAGAGAGAGAGATAACACGAAAGGAACTAACATTAGAGATGGAGGGGGCTTTGGTTGATTACATGTAAATTTTATATATAATTGTTTTGGATGATGACAAGGTTATGTGACGCGGAGAGTAGGTCATCTTGTGACGTGAAGATATTTTAATTGAGTGAGTGTAGTAATCACATGTCATGATCGGGTCACAAAAGCCGGGTCAATGGGGAAAAGGGTATAAAGAAGAATCTTTTTGACCGACCCTACTTTGGCTGCTCTCGTCTTTTGCAAAGTTAGAACACGTACGTACCGCTCTAGTCTCTATCTATATGACTATATATATATTAGGCTTTTTTATATTTTGGTTGCGCAGCCGTCATGTCCATGCCATGCATTTTAATTACTATATCAATATGTTTCCACTCAAATTAAGCTTTGGGTTTATAAAGGCATTTCCACTGCTAAATGTTATTTTTGCATATTAAATTTATATTTTGACAGGTGTTATAATACCAAAATACTATATTTTAGTAATTCTTCTCCGATAATACATTTGATGCAAAATTCTATTTTTTAACCCAACCACTATTATTTTTCAATTACCATTCCTACCATTTATATTTGCATCAATAATATTAATATTAGGCACATTACAAGTCAAGTTGTAAATATTAGAAGGAAACTAAAATTAAATCTAATTAAAAATAAGTACAAATCTAAAATATCTGGTCAAAAAAACACTTAAAAAAAAAAACAAAACAAAGCAAAATTTTTATAATTTTTTTACCACTATTTGTGAATTAATTTTTTTATATAATTTTTTTTTCTTTTTCGAAAATTTATATATATATATATATATATTATATATTTGATTATATTATTATTAAAAATATATATATTTTTAGGGCAAATCATTTCAGCCTCCCCAATCGCCTCCGTCTCTATTCTCGTTCTCAACTCTGAAATTGCCCCCCTCTCTCTCTCTCTCTCTATGCAACTGCAAACTACAAAATCAACAAGAATCAGAAGTTCAAAACCCATATTGCAAATATT